CAGTGTGGAGCAGCTCGGACAGACAGAGCAGCTGAGACAAGATTAGTCAGCTGCTCTCTGTTGTTTACTGACCTTTGCAACGTGAGTTCAGTCTCAGTTATGTGTCAAGGTTGGACAGTTTGTCAAAGACAAAACAGTAACCTCATGGATATCAACAACTCAACCAGCAGGAAGACTCTAATTTCACTCTGGTCAACCTCGAAAGAAGAGCAGGTACACCCTGGCTCACCTCGGTTGATCCGTCCGATAGGCGGCTGTTTTTCAGGGTTTCTTTTCCTCATGCATGTTCAACTATTGACCCGAGTCACTTTAGTGAAGTAACTAGTGTGTCACCTAGTGGCCATATGTGCGTCATGACTCTTTCACACATTAACTATTGGATTACGAGCTGGACACAGACAGGTGGAACTGCATCACAACAAGTACAAATAATTTGTTTTATTGGATAAAAAAAATGTAATGCTTATGACCATTGTCGAAGTTTAAATTTATATTTTATTTAAATTGGGAAAACGTGATTTAAATTTAAAATCTTGCTTAAAATCTTGCAAGACTTAATTTGCCCCCTCTCCACTCACAGAATACATTCAACCAAATCAAACTCATTTACCAGAGCCACTGCCAGAGGAGTCTGTAATGTACCATACAGAAAAAGTACCTTTGCACGGTCAGCCTTTTCTTATCGGGAAGCTCATACCTGGAACACCGTAGCTAAAGAACCAAGGAACACCACAACTGTCAACTTCTTCTCTAATCTATAAAACAATGGTTGTTGGATCCTCAAACAGGTCTTCATCTGGAGTCGTGGTTCATTTACGTCATTGTGTTTTGTAATTTTTTCTTCTTCTCTGTTTAATCTCCTAATTGTTTTTGCGGGTCGTTTGTGTGTTCCATGTGCCTTTGTTCATGTCTGTGCATGTTCTATTATTATTTGTATGATTTTTTTTACCATCAACCTCCCAGAGACTGCAGTTGAAATCTAGCCTGTATTTACATGTTGAACTCAAGTACAGATGTTTATGAAGCCTCCTATCATGACTTTCAGCAAGGACAATAATTACTAATATTTATAGCTTCAATAGATGTTTATGATAATTAAATTATTATGTTTTTGTCTTTTAAATTACCAGAAGATCAGTCCTGACACTGCTTCACTTTTTCTTATGATTTGTGTCTTTTTATTTTTTACCCAACCAGTTTGTTCCATCCTGAAGAGGCCCAAGCTTGGAGGTTCACAGAACAATGTGCGCTTTGACCGGGTGACAGTGTTCAGTTTCCCACGCTGCCAGGGCTTCAACAGTGTGCCCAGGCGAGGAGGTGCCACCCTGGGTATGGTGCGGATGCACAGCACTCTTCAAAGCTACACCGTGGCTGAGCATGCACTGGAGCAACGGCACAGACGCAGAGAGAGGCTCCGAGAAAAACGAAGAGAAGAGATGTTCAAGGCATTTAAGCAGAGTGTAAGTGCACTGCCTTTTTACATTAGTTTGTATTAGAAGGCTCATCTATGCAGCAGTCTTCTAACTTTACCTGTTGTTTTGATTCCAGCTGATCACCAGCGGAGCCATGGACCAGCGAGAAGCAGACAAGCTGACTGTGGATCAAATCCCAGAGGAAGACAGCGACATCAACATCAGTGATGCAGAGCTGAAAGACGGAGGTTTCCTTCAGCCGTACTCCTCCAAACAGCGGCAGGCGCTCCTCCAGGCGGCGGGGCTGAAGCGCATCGACAGGGAGGAGAAGAGACAGCTTCACGCCCTGCGTCTTTCTAGAGAGGCATGTGGATGTGACTGCCAGGGCTTCTGTGAGCCAGAGACCTGTGCGTGCAGTCTGGCAGGAATCAAGTGCCAGGTACGGTTCTTATATATACTCATGATTACTTACAGTGAGGAGGTTTGATGTTTTCTGCACCTGAAATTTGGGCAAATTATATCTCTTTTACATCAAAATTAGCAGGTATAGCAGAAACTGGAGAGACTGGACTGTTCAAACAATCTATTCCATTTTAATCTTAATCTAATTTCTCACTGTATATTCATTTAGTGGTGTAATAGTACATATACTGTTGATTTATTTTATACAAATCGCAGTTTAAAACTTATTTTACCTTACCACAATCCCTGATTTATATATTTATTTCTTGAGAAATGCAAAATAAAGACATTATTATTTTAATCCCCCATCCCACCGGGTACTATTTGGTTTTTTTCTAGTAGCCATTTTAAAACCTGTTGTTTTAGGAAACAAATTTTACTGTCATAGTGTCTGCTAATGTTGGATTTATCAGCAAAAAAAACCATTTCACATGCATCTGTATTTTAACATGTATGCATTAAAGTACCCACAACATTATTCTTTCACACATTCAGGTGGACCGCTTCAACTTCCCATGTGGCTGCACTAAAGACGGCTGCGGAAACACTCATGGTCGCACTGAATTTGACTCCAGACGCGTGCAGACCCATTACATCCACACTGGGATGAGGCTCGAACTGGAAAGACGCCTGCACGATGAAACACTGTGCCAAGAGGACCAGGCAGAGCTTCCAGAGGACCTTGTGGAGTACGAGGACCAGGCTGAGGCTTGCGCAGTGCAGAGTCCACAGGAAAAAATCTGCCCCTTTGGGTTCACCATGGAGGAAGACGGCCTTTCTCTCACTCTGCCACCCACCCCTTCCTTCACTTTCATCCCAGAGCGGTTAGTCATGGAGGAGAACAGCTGCAGCAGTGATATGACTGAATCCTCCTGCACCTCCTCTGACTCAGACGCAGGAGGACGCCTCACTGGGAGTCAGAGTCACCCTAAGACTTTGCCTTGTTCCCTTAGTATCTGTGACTCTGAAAACAATAACTACTCTATGTGCGATCAGCTGATGCACACGGGGGAACCGCTGACACAGCACAGCGACAACATGGGCACACACAGCACAACTACTGACAGTACGGGACCACTTACAGCCAACACACTCACAGACAATGTAAGCAGGGCCTCGCTGACAGATTACCTCGATGAGAACGCAAACCAAGCCACAGACTTCTTTGACAATGATTCTCTCGAGGACTTCCCCAACACGCCCTCCCCCACTGTGGACTATTCCTCAGGGAGGTACATGGACCTGAGTCTGTCCTCCGACTCCGACCTGGAGTTCTTCGACAGTGACTACCCCTCTGGACTGCTGCACAGCTCCTTTAAAGGATGCAGACACCCCGACAGCATTTGCAACCTACAGCTGTTCAGCTCTGTGAATCTGCCACAGTACGAGTCGAGCACCTACCTCCTGGAATCTTTGATCGGCCTGACTGAACCGAGCCCAGATCAGGTTTACTCAGTCGCAGAAAATCAGCTTTTCTAGGTGATATGGAACTTTAACATAATAAAAGTCTATGTGAGAGAATTTTATGTAAAGAGCACTGCTTTTATATATTTGTAAGAATATTTAAATGTACAAAGAATGATTTATAAAATATTTTTTTCCAAGCTAGATATTTTCTCTATTGCCTAKAAATAATTTCCTTTGTTTCAGAGAAACTACGCTTAAGTAATCTAATATATGTTCAGTTTTTTAATTTTTTTTTATGAATCTATAAAATGAAATGATCTTCCATGGCCACTGAAAATATTGGTGAATATTCAATGAATGAAGAGTGCACATTAATTTTCAAAGTTAGTGTTAGACAAGGTTACCAAAGGGGTCAATGCAGAGATACAATTTCAAGACCATATTTCTCAAGACATTATTTAAAATGTATTGAGATGTAAACAGGATCATCCACTTTGACTCATGGTTCCAGCCTTTATTTTGTGAATTAGCTTGAATAACTGCCTGGATCATTGTGGTTTATCACTGGTATGCTTCACATTGTGTTAAGAGTCCCTGTATTGCAGTAATAAAAGGAAACTGTTATATTTATTTTTTCACTGATTTCAGATTTGTTTGATGAGTGGTAATTTTGCATCCTCAGTTCTTAGGTGAAGAAACTAAGACTGCACAGAAGTAAAACACACACACGCAACAAAAATGAATGTATTCAGTTCAGTCTTCAGCATCTAACTCAGTCAAGAGGTTTGTAAAGTACAACAACATAACACTCACAAACAAAATCTAAATAATTCTCAGTAAAGGTGCAGCAGATTCAAGCAACAGAAGTGATGACAACCTGACCCGCTCCCTATCTGACACACTAACCTGCTTTAACACCTGTCCTTTAATACATTTAGACAGGATATTTACAATTTAACCTGTCCAATACTTGCACTTTCAAAATACAAATGGTTGATGCCTAATACAGATGAAATAAAATGCTGAATAAACAGAAGACTGCATGCAGCGCAGGTGTAGCATGTCTAATATCACTGACAATAGTAACAATTGTTTTAAGACTTTGTTTTATATATAAAATATATGATATAATATATTAGGTTGTATATATAATCTAATTTATAAGAAATGAATTAATTTATAAATTGAAATCATATGTACTGTGTAGTATTGAATGTAACAAACTAAATACATTTAAGCTGTAGGTCTCTGTATTGACTCCTCAGCAAAATGGAATTGAAAGCAAAGAAATGTGTGTGTGCGTGTGTGTGTGCGCGCGCGCGTGTGTGTCTGTGTGTGTGTATGTGTGTGTGTGTGTTTGTGTGTGTGTGCGCGCGCTCCATATTCCACAACAGTCCAGTGATCACACAACATTGATATTAATTAACCACACAAATGACCACAAAATAAATATACTATCCTCATCAGCTCGTGCAGTCTCATTTTCAGTGGCATTATGAATGTATTGTTTTTATAAATTTGCTCGCCTGCATTCTTCTAACATCATTCCCAAAAAATAATATATAAAATATAATTAATCAAAAACAATCTCATCTGTTTAGGTTTTCTCATACTTCAACACTGAAACGCAACAGAAGGGGAAGCCTCTCATTTCCAGAATATTGTAAAGTGAGCTTGGAGCTGTAGTACTGTACAGCTGCTGTACTCCAGCAGTGATCGATTGGTCAGGTCTACAGACAAGATGGCTGCCAGCTGTGAGCCGTGATCGTTCTCACGCTCCTGTTATCTTCTTGTAATAATCATATCTCAGAGGAGTGAGTGGGAGAAATGGGTTTGTCTCAGAGTTCAGAGGTACCTGAAGGAGGGACGTATGGATACCACGTACACGGAGTGAGTAGTATTCTCCTGGTGCTGGAGCAGAGTGTGCAGCAGCTTATCATGAAATCTTACTGTATGCTAACAGCTAGCTTAGCTGCTCACTCACCGGTTCAACCTGAAGAGGTGGCAGCTTCACCTGTTTCTACTCGCGGGCGGATTCATGCCACTGCAGCTTTGACTGGTTTATTTCACGTGTTAAGGAAAACGCTGCAGAATATAACTAGACTCACAGAAAGCTTCCTCCAGGTCTGATACTTTAACTGTGACACCGTCCAACATGAAACAAAGACGTTTCCAGTAGCTGATGTTTCGTCTGATTCAATGAAATACAGAAAATACGTTTTACTGATGCAACTCTTCCCTGTAGCTTAGTGTCGTTAGTCGTCTAACTGATCGATCGACCAGGACAGATTCATCGAAAAGGCCAAAGGTTTATTGCTTCCATCTCTAAAGGAAACATTAGTTGCTGTTCTGTGTTCTATGAGATGGTCAATAGAACCAGTAATGTGACGCTGTTGGCCCCTCAGGAAAAGAATATTCACTGCAGTCGATATCGATATATGTATCTCAATAAATGTCATATTATTATTTCTGTTTAGTTTAAATTATGATTATTTTCCTTCTGTGTGAAAGCTGT